AAATAACTGATAAAGTTTGAACCCATCAGGTATTCTATTAAATTGTTCAAAGAATCATCTCTACTATTTATTTCCATACGCATAAGTTACAAATTTATTAGAAAAAATAGGGTAAAAATGGAATAAAATATTTTATTTTAAAGAGAAAAAGATGAATTACAATTTACTACTATGTTTTAAAAAATATGCGATATCTTTCCTTGCCATATATGAAAAATTGTTATTTGGTGCATTTTGTCAATTATTATTGGGATTTATTTGGATTTATCTTTTAATTTAGACTTATTATTTTAATTTTTTTTTGTGTTATCATTATATTTATCATTAAACTAATTCGAGTTATGTTATGATTATTAATTGTAGTTCTATTAGGATTCAAAGAAAAAAATATTATAAATTACGATTTCCTTTGTCATTCATAGTTGTATTCAGTCTTTTATTCAACTCTCATGAATTCTTCCATCCACATGTTCCCCTTCCAATAATTCCTTAATTTTGTCAGGTTCTGCACCAAAAAAAGGTATATGAAAGGCTGACAAAATTGAGGAATTATTAGAAAGAGATGAACATGTAAATTTGTACTCAAAAGTTTTAGTCGTTTAACTCAGCAGTAAACTTTTTTTGACGTCGTTTTTAGGGTATTGATGTTGTTTTCGTAGGGTGAAACGGAATTGGAATCTCTTCAGGCTGTGTTTGGTTGGGGGGAATGAAAAGGAAAAGCCATTCTTTGCTCGACCACCGAACTCCAGCCATTGACCATCGACGCCATGGCTTCGAAGCTCCCGAACCAACTCCGAGCTCTCTACGCATCCACCACCCGTCACCGGCTTCTCTCTCCTCGATTCCCGAACCCTAACGAAGCTTTCCGAGACCTCCTTCTCGGTTCCAATGGCAGACTCTTCTCGGACGAAAGAAATTTGAATTTCTAATTTCTAATTTCCAATTTTCCAAATCGAAAGAAAGATGGCTGAAGAATCGACGCGGTCCCCCGTCAGGCTTATGAATTTCGTGTCGGAGGAGCAGGTGAATCTCATCTTTAATTTGTCCTTTAATTCTCTAATTCAATTATTCATTCGTATGTTTCTTTCTTTCTATCTTATTCTTGAAGATGAAAGCCCTAGAATTACATTTTTTTCTGGTGATTTAGGATAATCAAGTTTCAGACTTTTGTTGGAAAGTAGCATAAGATAGTCAGTTTGGGTAAAATATTCGTCACTCTTTTTTTTTTTCCCGCAGGGCCTCCTAAAGCTTTGGAAAGTAGCATAAGAGACTGAGTTTCTTGACAAATTAGAACTTGTAAGAGAACAACTAAGATTATTGTATTTTCAGATTGTTATTAATATTACTAAGTAGAATCAATTAGAGTTGGTATGATAGATTATTAGCCCAAATTTCTGCTATTACTCGGCAACAATGAGTATCTCTGTGTTTATGGAAATGTTGTTTAGATAATGCCCTGCCCTCGTTGTCTGTAAAATCTAAAACCGATGAAAGTTACATCGGTAAAAATGTCAATCTTCCACAGAAAGAACCTATATAGGTACAGTAATCACTAAGGTGGTTTTTGATATGCAATGCATACAACGTGAGAAAGGTTGAGGTGATTGTAACTGTATGTTTGCATCCATGTTTATGCTTATTATGTATGCCTTAGTGATGTAATAAACTTCTGCGGAGTGCAGCCTAAATGTGCTGATCATTATGTTGCCCTTTTTTTTTACATAGTTATTGCCAAGCATCTTATCTTCCAAACATAGTTTCCTTTGGCACTCACAGATGCCTTCACACGATTTCATTTTTTTTTCCCCTTAAAGGAATCAATGTGGTGCTTTTGAATCATTTCACCTTATATCATGTCAAGTCATTAATGTTTTGCTTTCCGGTTCAGGCAGCAGTAGCAGTACAGTCTATGATTGCACACGAGCTTAAGGAAACGCCTCCTGTTCCCGTAGTCCAGGTTGGTTTCTTATTTGTTTTGTTTATGTTCCGTTTGAATTTTCTCTAGGTGATTTTGCATTTACAAACCTGCAGAAACATCAAAGGTTGGTAATAGTTCAAGAATGAAACAGGCTTTTAGTTGAGGGATTTATAGTTGTAGTGACCTTAACGCCTATTCAGGTAGTCTTTCCTAATGGACTGTGTGAAAAGAAACCAGTCTCTTCTTGTTAGGCTCTTTGTGATAGGTGGGAGCTTTGGTCTTTAATGCAACCTGTGTGTGAGGGAGAAAGAGGGAGAGTTCTGTTCTCGTCTTGTTTCTGGTGTTCGTCATTTGTAGGTGGTGGCAGCTAAATGCAATCTGTTTCTGCCTGCAGGAACAGAAGGCAGCTGGGAAGAAGAATCCTCCTGCTCGTCCCATAGGTATGATCATAAAAGTCAAGCCACAAGCAAAAAAAGCCAGGTTGGATCAGGGAGGTGTTGAAGATTCCTCAAAAACAAAGAAAACTGTCGATATCAATACTGCAAAGACAAGAAATGTGAGATTTTATACTGTTGCTACTTTTTCCAAGTTCAACTTGAGATATCACACTTGTTGGAGATGTAGCTAAGGCTATCTTTTTTGTTTCTATGGTTGTTGCTAGTTGGTACATTCATCACTGCTCCTATGAGAGGAGAAATCAAATGTTCTACATGGAGTGGAGGCTAGTGTGTACAAATGTTTTCGTATCTTGTGCTCTCAATCACAATTAAGAGCTGTGAAATGGTCCATCAGCATGTAGACCGCCGCTTTCTATTTTGATATATATGAGTTATTATTTTTATTCACTCTTCTTTATCGTATGAAAAACAACTGATTTTGACCAAGTTATGTACATATTGTTATATAAGCTAAATAAACATAAGAATGTTTCTTCCTGACTTTTTTCCCTTTCGTTTTATTTATTTATTTATATGTTTCTTCGTGACTTTTTTCCCTTTCATTTTATTTATTTATTTATTTTCTTAAAGGGAGGTAATAACTCTTTTATTTTACGTTATTTTAGTCAAAGGAGAGATTGAATTACAAGTTCTTTTGTTTTGAGACAAAAATTTTTACTGATCAGGGAATGAAATAAGTTACTTTTACATAAATAGTATTTTTAGTTGATGTATGGCTGTAAGTAGTTAGGTGAAGTGGGCTTCACATGAAATAGGCAATTTCCTATCCTTGCCTACATTGACCTCTTTAGTTGTTTGCTTTCTTTTTCTTCTTTATTTTCCCCCCTTTTTTTCGAAGAAATTTGTTGCCTTCCATGCCTCTATATACCTCTCCTCTCTTTTGGCGACAAAATGACCATTTTACTTTGGGTTTTCTCAATTTTGATTGCCTTTCATGCTAATGCAATGTATATGAAAGATTTACAAGGTAGTTGTTAGAGCTAAGGATTATGTTGGAAACTATTGTGTGGATTGTGCTTCAACTTTGTCGTGATATGTTTCTAATGCCGGAGTGAGAAATAGAAAAGAAGAGAGAATATAAAGCTCATCATACTAGACATAATTTGACGGTTGGTGTATGTATATCAATCGTCAAAAAGTGAAGATGCATTCACTATGTCTATTTGTAGTTAACTATTGGTTTCATTCAACAATTAATTGATTGGTATATCATGGACACATACATTGTGGGGGCATGTGATTGATCAATTGTTAATTGCTGGTGGCAGACTCTGTTAATTGTTTGGGTATACAACTTATAGATTTGTTGCCGATGTTGGATTTACCCCAATAATCAAGTAGTTTTGTTCTTTGGAGGTCATTTTGCAAGCAATTTACCCAATAAAGGTTTTCCCCATGAGTCGAGTTTTGTTCTTTCGAGGTCTTCTTGCGGGTTTTTTCTGGTTTAATTTGGTTTTTTGGAATGAAGAAAACAGAACCGGAATTAAATAACTGAGAAATTATGGCAGCGTGTTTTTTCTTTTTTATGTGCGTTATCTTATTTGTGTTTATTCCACATATTTTCTTGTGTCCATGTTTTAAAAAAAAAAACGTTTATTAGAGTGCGTACGTGGTGTCTGATTGGTATGTTTGGATATAATTAGGTCTTATTCAGTTCGTTGATTCGAGTTGAGATGTGATTTAATGAAAGAGCTTTTAACTGTAGCAGAAAAAGTTAGATGTGCTTTTTATGATAACTTTTAACTTTAACAAAACTGGAATTGAAAACTTAAATTTGTGAAATGAACGAGACTTTAGACATAAGATTGTTTCAATTTTTAGTTTTATAAGTAATTATAATGTTTCCTTACCAAAAAATCAAAAGAGGAAAACGTCAAAATGGCGATTGGTGACGAGAATGTCTCTGAAACAGAGACGAGACCAATTGGTTCTTTCTTGTGACAATGATTTTGACACATAAAGAATTTAACTAGTTTGCAGCAAAAGAGAACTTGGTTTTAATCCGATCGAGGTTTCTAGAGTAGAGTTACCAACTGGTAGTGTGCATTTAGATGTGTGTTTGATAGACAATTGAAGGATAAGTTTTAGCATTATTCGGATTTTATCTTTTAGTTTAGATTTATTGTTTTAGTTTAATTTTAATTTATCATTATCATTTATCTTTTAAATTAGTTCTAATTCTATTATGATTATAATTTTAATTGTATTTGGATTCAAACAAAAAGTTGTAAATTATGTACCTTAATGGTATTCGCTCAATAAAAATTCATTGGTTCTTCATCTTCTTCAATAAGTGATTCCGTTTATATATGAGCGTGATATGAGTGTGATAACAAGCTCATGTAAGGAGCTTTCATATGTTGACGCATCACTGTACCGTATGTTGATAGAAAATGATTCAAAGGTGACACTAATGATTATGGTCCCAATCAGATTAAAAAAAATTGGCGGTGACTCAGTCCTAATCGGATCAAAAAAATTGACGGTGAGTGTGTACTATGTGGGAACGAAACATATTGTCATTTTTCTTCGTAAACTAGTCAAAAACACACGTGAAATATGACTCATTTAAACTAACAGTTGTACAAATTATCAAGGATAAAAAAGGAAGAGATAAAAAAATAAAGATAAAAGTTGGAAAAAACTTTGAAGCAAAATGAATGCAAAAAAAGACGAAAAAAACTTTAAAAAATTTTTCTGCGAAATGTTTCACACTTAAGGCTGTAATTTATGAGGGTCACATGCAAAAGAGACACATTTAAGAATAAATTAATTTAATATAGTGATTAAAAATAATATTTTAAATAACCGTAAGAAAAATATTTAAAAGAGATATATTTAAAAATATACAAAAATTAAAGTTTAAAAGATACAATAAAAATATTAGGAAGAAAAAGCTAAAAAAAAAAAAAGAAACAAAAAGCTAAAAAAGAAAAGAAAGGAAAAAAAACACTTCGATAACAAAATGATGGGGGATGTTCCCCGTCTATAATAGGAGCTGTTGCTCTTATATCGTTTGAAACATCATTTGTCATTTCTGAAGAATGACGTCGTTTGTAAGTAAACTCTGTTTTTTCAGTTACATTTTGTCGTTGGAAGAAAAATAAAAATGAGAATAGTCCAACTTTTTAAGTAAAATTATAGTTAAAGTAAATTAAAGATTGTGCTTTCAATATTTCATAACTAATCTATTGATGTTCTAACCTTTTATTTTTAGAATTAGAGACCTTAGTTAACCATATTAAAGGAGAGGATTGGCACAAGTTACAATTTTAAAAAGAGTAATTTTTAACTCGGGTATTTCTTCTAATAAATCCCATAAAGCTACTTTTCTTTATTGGCTTTTGTTGGGTGTGATGAAAGGGGATGTTTAACCATATTAATACAAACACTAACAGTAGTGATTGTATACTTTCCCTCTTTCATTAATAATATAGGTATAACGCACCACTTTCCATATATACTTCACATCCCTTTAAAACGATTAAATTTATTTTTTTCAACACTTTATTATTTCAAAATTATCCTGAACTATTTTCATAAGAATATAAGATGATTAATTCTTGGGCACTTCATTTATCATTTCACACCCATCATTTTTTATTTATTTTATGATTAATTTAAAAAATACACTATGAATTTGGTATCTTGTTTCAACATAGCCCCGGAATTTTAAAATTAGTTCACTTTTGCTCCTTGAATTATGTGCGATATTTCTAAAGACCCCCTACATTTATAAACTAACAAAATAATGACATGACACAACATCTAATGTCATTAATGCCCCTAAAATATTGATTTTAAGTAAACTTACCTACTAAATTGTTACTTTTAGGTCAACTTATCCCCTAATATTTTATGAGATCAAAGGGAAAAATGTCCCAAATCAATACTTCATAATACATTTATAAAATAAAATTACATAAAAGCGTTTCAAACCACTTTTCATATTTTAGGAGCGAAATTAATCGTTTTTAAAACTTAGGGCTTATTATTTTGGAGTAAAACTCAAAAAAAGTTTGAGCTCAAGTTACAACTTTTTTCAAGTTCATGTTCGTTTGTAAAATTTTGAGTTTTAACTTGAGTTTGGGACTAAAATTTGAGTTCAAGTTTCCCTTCAACTCAAGTTCTTAAACTCAAACTCAAGTTAATGAATAATATTTTTTCTATTCTTAAAAACGTCATTACTTTTTCGTTTTAATTTCGATTGAGATAATTTTTTTTCTCTGTATTCACAATGAAGAGACGAATAAAACCCCACCCATATACCCTATTAAAATTTTTCATCACCATTGAGTTTTTATTAAAATACTATCTAAATATAAATTCAAGTTTTGACATACTCAAACACAAACTCAAATAGATTCTCAATTCAAATTATAACTCAAATGTGCACATCCAAAACAAACTCAAATTACAACTTTAACTAAAATTATAACTCAATATCTACATTCAAATCACCATAACTCAAAAATGCAACTGAACAAGCCAGGTATTTGAAAACATGGTACAAAATTCAAAAGGCATTTGCCAAATTAACCCCAATTTTTAAATTAAATCACATTTTGCCACGTCATGACTCCACGTTGGATCAATTGTTTTGTTAACCTTCGGTTGTTTATTTTTCCCTCCAATACCAGAACTAGAAGGGAACATCTCCATCAAGAATTCCAAGATCATTCCTTTCTCTTCCACCGCTCTATATAAACCCCCACCACCATTCCTTCCCATTTACTCACTATTTACATCACTCCCACAGAAAAACAGAGAGAGAGAGAGACTTACGCTTTCTAGAGAGAGAGAGAGAGATAGAGACTTACGCTTTCCAGAGAGAGAGAGCAAGAGGGAAAAAAAGGAAAAACCAGAGCGAGAAAGAAGAAAAGTTTGACAACTATGGCAGATAAACAGCGCGTTCAGAACCAAGACCTAACACAACAAAACCCTCAATCCCCAAATGCGGCTTCTCCGGAGTCGGCAACTCCGATTCCCAAAAACGGCGAAGGCCGTTCTCGATCAACTCCGAACAACCCGACGCCAAGAAGCTCTTTCTTGCCTCAGGCACGGGTTCCGGCAATTCGTCAAACGCCGCACCCAAGACCACGCCGAAGCGCGACTCGGCCATGCCCTGTTCGGCCACTGGTCTGCCTCTTCGTCCGCCGCCGCGCCGGCTCCAAAACTTGTATCCCATTTCATCTCCATCTCACTCGCCTTTAAAATCTGCTCAGACCTCAGGCTCGGGTTCGGGCGTTTCGTCGAACGCCTTACCCAAGACCGCGCCAAAGCGCGACTCGGCCATGCCCTGTTCGACCACTGGTCTGCCTCCTCGTCCGCCGCCGCGCCGGCTCCAAAACTTGGCTCCCATTTCGTCTCTGTCTCACTCGCCTTTGGAATCTGCTCGGACCTCAGGCTCGGTTTCAGGCGTTTCGTCGAACGCCTCAC